ACGCAACGCAATTATAACCTCAAACTCTACTAATATTCGATTGCCGCATAAAGTGAAGACGTCATAACACAATTACACAAAATGCAATTTTTTTCACCATGACGCAAATCAAGAGGTTGTTTTTATTTATAGGAATATCATAATTACAAATACTGATATTTGAAGTATTTGACACCAATAAAATGTCAAAAAACAATTCAATAAGCGAAGCTTGGACTGACACAATTACTGACACAATGGTGAGTAGTGTTCAGTCTCACAATAATAGACATTGAGGAAGGTCACGGTGCGGCCGAATGCTTTGTTTCTGCTTTTTCATTTTGTGTGGAAAATGACACTTTTAAATTTATTATTATTATCAATAGACTACACAGATGAATGAAATTCACCAGAAAATATAAAATGATGTATGAAATGTTTAATTTTGAAAATTTTCTGCATAATAAAATATGACTTTGGCATTCTTCACGTGAATATTTACCGCAAGTTTTTCTATCAGAGGTACCAGTGATTCAATCAATTAAAAGCTTCCATGTTTTTGTTATATGTTTTATTATATGCTATTATGACTAGCAACCCAAACTTGCCACCATGTTTAATTACATGAAAGACACATTAAAATGACGAATTTTGCATACGCAGAGGCCTTTGCGATCAGTTTGATACGCCGCAAATAATAGCCTCGAAACTAATGGCGATTTGGACATTAGCGCACGGCCGGGATTTGCGAAGCTTTCGAGATACGGGATAGCGCACGCTGGCCATGCTAGAGCGTGTGCGCAACATAGCGAACCTTTCGAGATTCCGAGCCCTGAGTGTCTTCATGCGTACCTTCCCGTTTGCGTCTTCCAGGGAACCCTCCAGAAAATATCGACGGTGCTCCGATTCCCACGACGGCGCAAGTGTTTCCCGTGCAGGTCCACACCGGGACTTGAAAGCTGAATTCAACAGTAAGCTGACACACAAACACAACAACGGGCTGGAAAAGAAACGCATGAACTAAATAGCGATCAAATCAAATTTATGCATTGGTCTTAAAACCCCTTTATAATGGACGGCGTTCTTTTTGCGCGCTTTGTGCGTATTGCCTTGGTTGCAACATAAATGCTTAATGATGGCACAACTGTCGGCACGTAATTAAGAAATTATTAGTATTTTTTTTACTCTCAAACCGGGCTGTACTACGATACGCAGAAAGGGCGCCGCCCAGCGTGAAGAGGAATGGGGGGGGGTAATAAAATATAATGTGTTGATAATGCATGAGCTGAGAGGAGCTGCTGTAATTCCATTAGTGTTTATTTATTTTATGGTTTACTGCCGATCTTGCCGTTGATAAGACTGAACAATATTTGCTCAATCCAGACGTGGGAAATCGATAAGGTGGTGAGTGAGTTCCATCGACTTTCACTCTTCTTCTACAATAAAAGTTATTTTTTAAGTTCTGAAAAAAAAAAGGCGCTTAAAAAAGGTTGCGCACCTTGTAAGGCAAACGAAAAAGGGTTCGAGTGTACAGTTGCATGAATACATGTAGCAAACCGTGTGCAACAGTTTTGTGATTGTGATTCTGTGTGCATGATGTTGATAACTGTGCTAACATACCAACAGAAATTCAACTAAGGAAGTTTCCAATCCGAAACCGCTCAAACCAACGCAGTCGGCTGACCTGTTACTGCAGTCTTGGTCGGTCGTGCAGGATGTTCCGGCAACTATAATATAAATAATAGTAATAAATAATCGAGCACAGAAAAGTTTTACATTAAAATGCTCTCTAAGAAATATATATATATATATATATATATATATATATATATATATATATATATATATATATATATATATTAAATCAACAATGTAGTGCTATACAATATACATTAGCAAGAAAATAATAAAATACAAGAAAAATCCTGTGAAACGTTTGTTATGTGCAGAGAAGAATGAACGTTAGGTGTAACTTATGTTATGTTTATCTTGAGCCCCCGCGTAAACATTTAAATTTACACACAATTTCACATTTTAGTTTAACCCATTTAAATTAAATTAAAATAAGAGATTTGTTTATCTCTACTCTGGTGTTGGGCGTATCTTTTTTGTTTTTTTTTTACATCAGTCTATATTTCGTGTCATAAGGAATGAGAACATGAAACAAGATTTCAACTCCAAGATATACCAGGGTATGCGAAAGGGTCTCCCCCAAGTAACCAAATTACGAAATGCCTGTTAATTTTTAGAAAAAACATCACTGTCATATTTTCCGGCCTTAATCAGCAAGTTACATGGAAACCATAGTTCTACGCATAATTCGGACTACTTAGCCCCCTAATTCCCAGTGTCTATGCATTCCAAGAACCCCATAAGAATTTACAAAAATAGAAGTAGAAAAATAAAAACAGATATTGTGGAATTTGCACATTCTTCTTGAACAGTACGAATGTTTTCAAGAAACATCTACAATTTAAAACTAATGACTTAGGAATATTTACATTTCCCAACCTTTGAGGCACTCTCGAAATAAATACAGTAGCGATTACGACTTCCACTCATAACAGTATAAAGTAAATATAACTATAAAAATGCCAAAAATCACTCACTGGTCTGACATGTTCCATTCGCCAAGGGGTAAGCTGTCAAAGGACAGAGGCACACCTGGTTGGAGCCGGTGAAGATCGAGAACAGCGGGTTACGTGTGCACAGCGTATTGTCCCCACAAGCCAGTGGCGGGAAAATAGCGGCCGATGAACAAGCACTGAAGAGACTTGTGCTGTTATCGCTTGTATAACCTGGAAATATAATGATGTACCTTTATCTGCAGTAATTATAACGGCATTCAATTATCTGCACAGTAAGTACTTCGAAATATAAACGTAACAGGGAATTACGATGTTCTTTATATTTGGTTTTAAAAAATCGGTTTATTTCACCCAAACCACGAACATTTTTAAACCGGATAATGGATTTGCGATTGTCGTTATTAACATCTGAAACATGCTGCATGAGATATGCTCAGACCAAAGTCAACATCATGAGCTGTTACCCCAAAAAGAAATAACACTCTTAAAAACAGGCTCTGGTCACTGTAGAAAAACAGCTTTCAGTTTCGTCATTACCAGACACAATTTGAGTATCAGATTTTTTATTTTCTGTATCGTGGTGCTTATGAGTAATGATGGTGAAAGCGAATAGCGTGTGGGTATTCCACTGATCTTACCAGCAATAGGAGGTATAGTGACAGCCATGGCCATTGTTGATCTGAAAAAAAAAAAAAAACGAAAAAAAATTACGCTGCATATAAACAATACAAACATTCAACAATAAAACGAAAACGATGACAATTTTAGTGTTATCATTATCTTTCAAAAACCCGGTGTGTTTTTAACTGTACTTGTACCGTGATGTATTGTCAAAAAATCTTCCACTTACTTGTTAGCAGCCCTGCTGGCGAGTATATCCCTTTGTTTTGTTTGCTTCCTGAAGTCGTTTTTCCAGAGACATGCTAGCTTAAATACTGTAGAAGACGACTCAGCTTAGCCGGTAAGCTTTTTTCATTTGATAGCATACGTCGCGTACCGTGCAAGTTAATCAATTGTAAATCTGAGGTTTTGACTACGTTAATTGTAGTGGAGAAAACCCTTAATCGTCGTCTGCCAAGTGCATGCTCTATATTTATCACAATTCAGTCTGCATATACCAGTAATAAAAAATCCTTTTTGTTTCCGACAATAACCCTTGAACGTGGTAATGTTAGTAATAAACTCTAAACGATTCGTCTGACCAATTCGTGACTGGCATTTTCCGTCTTTTGTATTCTAATCAGAGCATTACATCTGCCTAATATTAGGAAGAAATCTTTAACAATCCCTGTGTCAATAAAAAGACATACATATCATTTTAAAATGAGTGTCTTTTTCTCCTTTTATCAAATCATAATAAATATATGTAAAAAGATAAATAAACGGCGAACTCTTAAAAACACGGCGAACTAATCCTCAAAAAGCACAGTAAATTTCCTTAACTTATGTGCACATTTTACTCCCCTTCGAAAGTGTTCTTTACGAGTTTCATTTTGGTCCTAATACATAAATGAAAAGTTATATCGACGTTCTTCGGTATATTTATCCCAACTGCCGAACACGAATACAGTTTTCCTTGTTTTTATTTAATTTTATTTGTTTAAAGACGGGTCATGAGGTATTCCACGTGGATCCGCAAACTTATGTAAACTATTCGCACGGTTCCCTACTAAAGATACGCGCAGTTTACCGATAATATTTTTCATCCAACATCGCAGATTCATTTTTAAGTAAAGAAGGATATGGATGTTGGTCATTTCATTGATTCTGGTTTCTACTTAGCGCGGTTATAATAATTTCCTACAAAAAAAAAAAAAAAAAAAAAAANGACGCGGTGTATCCATAGTAACAGCACTAAATTTATTTCAATGGATCCATTTTTCTGCGAACATTTTATGATTCAGGTTGTTGATTGGATAAAACTAAGAAAACTGTGCATTGTGTATTATATCCACTTCCTGATCAATAAATGTATAAACATCGTATTTTTGACAGATGCGTAACGTATATATAGCTCCATTCTGCTTGCAGGCACATCAGAGGCTATACATTTGTGTGTGACTTAAAATTTGTGGTTTAATATCCACAGGTTGCTTCTGTGGTAACTATTCTCGTGAAATTGAAGGAAGGTAGTGTGTGCTGGTTTTCTATGGCAAAACAGCCTGGCTTAATCCCAATTTTACACATTTCCCTCTCACGACCCCGCTCTGTCTCTCTCTCTATTTTATTCTAATTAGGTTATTGCACCATCTGTATACAAACTAAAAAAAAAATTATATTCTGCCTTATTGCCTTTCATTTCTGAATATTTAGGAAGTAGCATACTTAAGACATTCATAGAACAATTACGTAAGATGTGTACTTAATAAGTACTCTTAGATTTTTCATAAAGATACACTGTAATATTCCACATCAACCCCCTTAGTCATCCTTAGAAAGCAAGGAACGCCTAGCCACCGTTTTTGTTTCCGCCACGCCTCCATCACGCTTCGCTTGCTTTGATGAAATCTCAATCATGTCGGTAACTACACTATGCCCCCCCCCCCCCTCGAAAAAAAGTGCAAACAGAATGGTGCACCTGGAATCTTATTGAGAAATACAGACAGGCCAGTAAAAGCAGTGCCAGCAACCTTTTTCTTTTCTTTATCATCAATTTCTTTTCTCCATCATCAAAGTAAAACATTAAAAGTAATACAGTTACACAAATCCAATATTTCTTTCATACAGTCTATTTTAAACATAAATAAATTATGCATAAAACATCTAACCTGCTTTTAAAATGATTCTCATGGTTACACTGGGTTATGATGTTTGACCGATGCAGTTATACCTATTAGATTATAAAATGCAGTATGCGTTAAACTTAAATTTTAAATAAAATCCTAGCCAAAACTGGTAACCAGTGCAGCTGCTAGAAAATTGAAGTAATGTGCTAATTTTAAGGTGGAAAGATTAGAAGTCAGGGCTATATACTCTGCATGCGTTGTAATATTTAATCTTACCATGTGGACATCCATGTAATACAAAATTAAAAATTAAAGTTAACCAGCTTATAACTGCTGCTTGTATAGGTTGTATAAGTTGTAACGTATATATAGCTCCATTGATTCACGTATTTCCTCACAATTTATTCCGAATATTGAATAAACGAGACTACCGGTAAATAATGTTCGAGATCTGTTTTCAATTGAAAGTGAAGAATCAAAATAAACCCCTGTTGTTTACCTAAATAATAATAATAATAATAATAATAATAATAATAATAATAATAATAATAAAACCTTGTCACTCAGCGTTTTAAATGCCCCCTCTTTTAATCAAATTGTTTTATTTATAAATAATTGAGAATGCATCAGTTTAAACGCACTGTAAAAAAAAAAAAAAAAAAAAAAAAAAAAAAAAAAACACGTCAATCAGTCATGTACCCGCCCAGAAGCTGTACAAAATTACAATTCGGAAGTCACACGTTAGGAAGTGTCTTTCAAAGACCCTCTTCATCCTCAAAATGTACTTCGTTATCTGACTCGTCTAAGCGTTGTCTTTCTTCCTGATAATACTCCCCAGCATCAAGCTTCCTTTGCAATCTCGGAGGCAATTTCTTGTAAAATGGTGTTCCTAACGTATAAAGTTTAACACGCTACATTATATGAATATACGGGTCGTAGTTAGATTTAATTTAAAATCATATTACCACAAAATTCGGCTTTTGAAGCAATAGCCTCAAATACCCATTTGCATAATTTGTTAAAGTGGGAAATATATTTGTTCCTGAAAAAAAAAAAACATTTTGGAGGCTCACAGTAGAGGAGTTAATGCTTTAAGATAAATATTAACTCCACTGTAATCAAACAAAGATAAAAACGGTTCAATGCATACAATATCGAACATGCATATGAAAGGAAATTGATCAGAAAGAAAGAAATATAACAAATACAGTCAATATAGATCAACCTTTTACACACACAAATACATATAACAATATCAATTACTTAATACCTTTTGTGCCCGTTGGAAGAAACTCGCCAGCATCTTTGACTCTCCCGTTTTCTTCATAATGTGATATCAGCTTTTTTAACGTGGTATTATATCTAAGTAGCTTCTTATTTCCTGAAAATAAAATAAGTTACGACGTCATGGGAATTAATCCTCATCTTTACGGCATATTAATATCCCTTCACGATGTTTTTCTTCAATGGAAGCGCTTTATGTGAAGCTACGTCTAGCTTCGATTTTGAATCTGGCTTACTTCTACTTTACAATGTTATCCAACATTAAAGTGAAAAAAAAAAGTGTTAAAATGATTTTATTTTGCCAAATTGTCATAAAACTATATTAAAAGAAAATTCATATCGCAGATAAAATAAAATTGTATAGCTTACTTTGTTTACTTATTTTTTTAATTTTTTTATTTTATTATTTTTATTTTTTTTTTTTATAAGCTAATCACACACCGATTACCAAAATGCACTGCAGAAACATTTTCTCCCATTATTTCAATTTATTTCATCTCATCATATTTCCAAATGTAATTCTATTTTGGTTAAGAGAATATGGTACTTGTAATTACCATTGATAATCAGGAATCTTCTTGGGCGAATAAGTGCCACGTTAATCTGATGGTCATTTGTTATAAAGCCAAGGTTGACTTTACACCAGCCCTTAGTCGGCCTTTGCACAATCTGGTACTATGGGATAGAGCGGACGGTGCTGATGTCCTATTCCCCACCTGGTGGAATTAAAAAAAAATACGAACGCATTGTACATGAATCAAGGGATTTCAAAAAGCCAAATTGTATCACACTTACTGCAAATTTGCAAGAAAGAATTGCAGTTTACAGTGTAGCACACTGAATATTTTGGTATTTTTACAAACTAATAATATCTGCTGAAGTCTACCTGGACACCTGAAGTAAGTAACTCTAACACAAGTGAACAATAACTAACTACTGCACTACCTGTGCAGCTCTTTATTATAGTACCAGTTATGCAAATGACCCAATGCTACAAGTCCAATG